GGCTGCCACCCCCTCCACAACATCCTCCCCCGCAACCACCCCAATGACCCCACCCTCCACACAATCCCCCCCTGTCTCTCGACGCCTCGCGTCCTCCAACACCCGTGTGAATGCCTGAGCATGCGGGTTAGTCGATGCCATAAGTCGAGCCCTCTCTCGCTTTAGGATGTCGAGTGCCGCATCCGGAGACCCAGTCGTCGTCACTCTCTGGGGCTGCGTGAGACTCTCTCCAGCCGTGTCGTCCCTCGATGGAGCGCGATCCGTCGATGTCGCCCCGCCGCAACTAGGTGGAAGTCCCATCGACAAATCTAAGTCTAGGTGGCTCCCCATCTGCGAATCCGACATCCCCAACCCCCTCGCCACACCTGGGGTCATACCCGCCATGACTGGATCGTACTACTCCGTGAGGAACTGCTGCATGAGGCGCTCGTCGCCGCCCCCACGTGACACCTCCGCCTGCGCCCCTATCTCCTCCTCCACTGCTCCTGGCATTCCCCCCTCCACTGCATCTGCTCCTCCAACTGTTGTTGCTGCTGCAGCCACAAGCCCATCCAGTGAAGCTGCTCCTCCGGCTGCTCCTCCCGCTGCTCCTCCAGCTGCTCCCGCCTGCCTCTCCACTGCATCTGCTCCCCCTGGCGCTGGTGCCTCCTCCGCCAACACTGAAGCTGCCATCTCCTCTAGCAATGAAGTCGCTGTTGCTACAGCTATCTGGTCCACCACACCTGCAATCGTCGTGTCCGCCAATCCCCCCTCCACTGCCATCTCCCCCTCCAATGCTGTGGCCGACGGTCCCCCCTCCTCGTGCAAGACCCTCGGAGAAGCTGATCGTAACCTCAGCTGTCGGACTACCCCGCCTCTGTGGAGCAGTCCGCGCTGAGGCAAAGAGGACGCCAACTCCTCTGTGTCCTCTGCTACTATGGTCGGCTCATATGGCGCAACGGGCGATGGCGGTGGAGGACTCGGAGCAGAAGGTGGCGGCACGGACGACTCCCGCCTCGTCGGAGCGGGGCTCGTCGCCCACGCTCCTGTGCCGCCCGTGGAAGCGACCTCCCCGAACGGTCCCCACAACTCCTCCTCTCCCCCCATCATCTCCCTCTCCGCCCTTTCCGCCGCCCGTCGTGCAGTAGTCGCCCTGGTCTCCCCCTCAGGATCCTCGTGCGGCTCGTCGATCTCACGGGGAATGCGGAGCGCGGGGTGGTCCGCTGCCTCGGGTACCGGCTCCTCGTAAAATCATCCTCCTTGGGGTAGGGACGGAAAATGGAAGCACGTCTACCAAATACGGCCTCAGTGGCGGGTGGTGCGGAGACCCCGATGGGATCCCAGGTGATAAGCGCAACCTGACGGGCAATCTCCTCCGACGTCATCCCCCTGCGCGTGCCCGTGCGCACTGGCGCCAACTCTACTCCGGCCTGGCAGTCTAGCATGCCCTCGTCCCGCTGCCATGGCAGCACATAACTGCACCCAACCCGCCGATACTCCGACAACCGCACATTCGCGGTGATCTCAACGAGCTGAACGACCTTCTCAAAGGCCAACTGGTTGCGCTTCTTCGTGTGAATGCCCTCGTGGACTGCCCAGTTCCTCTCCGCTGAAGAGGCACAAGACCACACGTGCATCACACGAAGAGCGCAGCGCTGCAACTCAGGTGCGCCAGACCCGTACTGAGACCACCAGGACGCGCACTCAATCGTCTCCCGGTCGCCGTTGCAAGCACACCCTCCCCCCATCCCCAATCCCCAAATGTGCCCTGCTGCATGTGGAAGTCCTAAAATTGTCGACATGCAATGATGTACTCCGTACCATCCTCCTCGTAACCCGTCTGCGTCAAAATGTACCTCTTGGCTTGCCTCACAAGCCAACGAGGGTAATCCCTCACCTCGCCCGAAAAGTACTCAACATGTCGCCTGCGGGGGTTCAGTAAGAAACCCGCGCAGTGAGCAGGCTCCAGCATGTGCTGTGTGCGAGCCTGCACACGCCTGATGATGCGGTCAGCGAAAACCCTCCCCAAAGGAGCGCATGCATCAGTGACACGGCGGACAAGATCCTGTGTCCACTCGATCATGAGGGATATGTACTTCCCCCCACGATCCATCCGCCTAAGCAGCTCCATGACGGGCTGCATGATGTGGAGTATGGTGGCCATCGTGTGCCACCAAGGCTCCCATCTGATCTGCCGGCACACCCAACGCGCCATGTCGCACACATCGGCAGACCACGATATAGAAGCAAACTCCCGCCCGTCATCCCCTCGCATTATCGCCTGCAGAGCGTCTTGCAGGGCCAACAGTCTCTCCAACATAGAATAAACAGACGCGAACCGCGTCTCGCAAGAAAGCACAAGCCCCTTGTTGGGGCTGCGCTTCCTAAACAAATGAAGGGCAGCCTGGTGGGTTTTGAAAAACACCACCAGAACACGAGCGCGTGTAATCGCGTCCACAAACGCGTCGCAACTCGTCCCCATGTCTGACAACAATTTGTTGCAGACATGGACGGAACACGGAAGCCAAGTGATCCTCCTGAGTGCATGAAGGATGCCCCGCGAGGCCAATGCCCTCGCAGCCCCCACGTACGCCGATGCGGAGTCTGTGCATATCGCATTGACCCGCTGCGGGCCGCCGAAACTAATCTCGTGGAAGATGGTCACCCATCTTCGAAGGACGTGAACTGCATCGTCCGGCTCGCCCTCGCGATTGATCGTCGTGTACACGACGACCCCTCGCGAGCCGGCGGCAAGGAAATTCACAATCGGTCTCCCGTCTCGTGATTTCCTCCCGTCGGAGAGGAGGGTGGCACCAGTGATCTAGAATGGCTGCCTCACCTCCTCCAACTCCTCCGCCAGCTCCTCACGTTGGGTCTCCACCACCTGCATACTCGCAATCTCGCTGTGGCTGGGGAGCACAGCGCGCGGGGAACTGCCAGGCTGGTCAAGAAGGACCTGCTGGTATGCCTTCCAAGCCTAGTTGCGGAAGGCATTGAAGGGGACCCCGCTGGAATAGAGCAAGCGAAGGAATGTCTTCTTGTGGCAAGCAACCCACTCGCCACCGTAGACGTTAGTGACCTTCTGCTGGCGAAGCCTCTTCCCAGCTGGGGCGGCGGCCGGATCTGTTCCACCTTCCTTCCTCTTGGAAGAACCCTCCCATACAGGTGCCTTGGCTGCTCGCCTCAAAAAGTCATCCATCCTCACCCCAGTGCCTGGATAAACCTCAGGCACATCCTCGTGTCCCGGGACTCCCTGCTCGCCCGGGACACGCGACTCACGATCGACGTCGACTGCGCCCTCCTCCCTGTCTCCACCTCCACCATCTCCTCCGACCCCTCCTGACGCTCCCTCCACGGGCTGTCGCCCCGCCTCTCCCCCCCTCACACCACCCGTGCCAGGCACATCGACTCCGCGCTCCGCCGCGTACCTGGCAACCCTCTCCGTTTGATCGCTCTCGAACTTCTGTTGACTCCGTCGCGCGATCTCGTACAAAGCCTCGTCGCTGACGTCCTTGCAGTAGTTCGTCTGCGTGAAATGCCTCGTCGCCTGGAATTGGCTCCCGTGAAATACTTTGTTGCAAAAAATGCAATGCAGCATCATGACCCCCTTATTGTCGACGTTCTGGCCGACAACCAGGTAACGGCACACAGGGGAGCGACCCCTGAATGTGTCCTGCACATGGTCAGGGGCAGGCTCATGCTGACGCTGCTGTGACCTCCCCATGACGGCCGCCCTCGCCGCCTCGCGAGTCAACAATCGCAACCGCCTCCTCCCCCCCAAACGCGTGGCCTCAGGCAACCCCCCCCCCATCGACTGGCTGCCGCCCTCGTATCCCCGTCCCACAACCCTTCGATAAACCCCGCAGCCCCCCCCCCCCCCCCCCCCCGGCTGCGGGCCGTCGAACCCCCCCGAACCCCGCCAAACAGCGTTCAGACCCGCACGTTCAATCGCGTTGAGCGTCGTTCAATCGCGTTTAACATCGTCGAATTAAAAATTTGACGGCGTTCATCGGGTTCGCGCGCACTCGCTTTCATCCGTCGTCGACCCGCTCCGCCGCTTCCCCGCCATCGCCGCTCCGCTCCGACGCGCTCCA